GATCTGTGAAGTGTTGTATAAGTTGAGGACTTTAGTGTCATTTACTTTTGAAAACATTATTTCTAGCGCATGCAAGAACATTTAAATAACACTCAAGGATTCACTCCCCAGCACCCCAATCAGCCAGTATCTGCTCAAAACTAGTTCACAATTCATCATTTTTCTTCTCAAAAAAATATATCCATGCTTCTGTCTAGACAATAGTGTTTGTTTTCCTTTCACTACCGGAGTTCCTGAACTCCCTCTGAACTACAAAAAATGGGAGAAAACATTGCAAATCATGAATTTGATAAAGGACTATATCTAGAATTTACAAAATAGCCCTTAAAATTCAATATCAGAAAGAAATAACCGAATTTTAAAAAGGGAAAAAACAGTGTAGTCAATCAGTAGTACTTCAGTAAAAATGTGGACAAAAGACCTTAACAGACATTTCACCCAGAAGAGACACAGACGACAAGGAAGAACATGAACAGATACCCAGCATCACAGGGCACTAGGGAAAGATAAATCAAAATCAACACGCAACTATAAACAAGAGACATGCAGCAGGTGAGGGGGAGGGGTGAAAGGAAAGATTAGGGTCAAAATAAGGGGGATGGGAATTGTATGGGGACTATAACCAAGATGAAAATGCATACATTGTGCAAAAATGAAAAATGATGTAAAAACATATAGAAAATTAAAAGTAAAAAATAAAAACAAAAAAACAAAAGCGAAAAAGAAAAAAGAACAACAGTGACACCGTCACGCTTAGTAGAGGCTGAAAAACGCAAATACTGCACAGGTGCTGCCCAGGATGTGGACAAGAGGAGCCTCATTGCTGCCCACAGGATGCAAAGTGGCCCATCACAATGGTAGATACTTGAAAGTTAATTTGAAAACCAAAAAACTCTGATTATATAGCCCAGTGATCACTGCCCCACTAGTTACCCAACTAATTTTAAACAATATTTGCAAAAAAAAAACCTGTATTTATGTAAATGTTTATAGCGGAACACCCATAAGTGTGAGCTGCCCACAGTGACTAATTTCAAAAGACAACAGTAATTGAAGAAATGAAACAAGAAGAAGCTTTTCAGGAAGAAAGATACAAAACTCTACCTTAGCCTGGTGCTGAAGGTTAACACCCTCAGTGATCAGTCAGGGGGCGTGACTGAGTGGTGACTGACATGACTGACGTGTTGAGTGGACAATAGCCTGCACTTCTGTGGTCTCCTTTCCCGAGCCTCAGTCCCAGTCAAAGGAAAAAAAAAAAAAAAAACAATAAATTGAGGGACCAATATTCCTGAGCAGTGCTCCTTGATAGAGGCTAAGAGTAGAAAATTGAGGACGGAGGGGTCACATGACCAGAAAGTGGAGGTGGGGGTAGAAGTGATTAACATAGTTATTAAACCCACTATGGAAATGAACAATGCTTAGGGCAGCTGCTCTAGGGAGCACCAACTGGAAAGGACCCCGAGGCACAGAGCAGAGGTGGGATGTGGGGACGGAGCCATTGCAGAGGATCACCAGTCCTTCCAAATGAACCTAGTCACTCCCTGGAAGTAATTAATTTAATGACAGATGACAATTCCACAGATGAATGAAACCCTCCCAACTAGAACACCACCTCAGTGCCCTTTCTGCCCTGGGAAGACGCAGCTCTGCTCCCAAGGCTCTGCCTGGGGCTTGCAGGCTTCTCCTAACACACCCACCCTCTCCAAGAGCAGCTCTTCCTGCCAATTGTGTCTGCACAAGAAGCTCCTTCTTTCCCTTAAAAAAAAAAAAAATATGTGTGTGTATATATATATATATATATATATATATATATATATATATACCTTCTCTTTGGCAGAGACTAAAAGTGTCTTGTGTGGAAACTCACTGTTCATGTGAAAGGAGGACTTTGGTGAAGCTTTTCTCAGAAGTGACCCAAGAACCTCCATCTGTGACCCCAACGACTCTCCAGAACATCACTCCTCACCAATGTCAATGTTACAAAAACAAGGAAAGTCAGAGAAACTTTCAGCCAGAGGCATATCAAGGAGACCGGGTTGGAATTGAATGAGGCAAACTAGATGCGATTATGGTATAAAATAAAATGGACATTAGGAAAACTAATGAAATTAATTATGGGCTTGGTTATTGTGTCAACATTACTTTATTAGCTGTAAAAAAAATGACAACTTTAGTCATATAAGATGTTAACAAAGTGGAAATGGTGTGGGATAAACAAGAACTGTACTACCTTTGCAACTTTTCTATACATTTAACAGTATTCCTTAATTTTTTTTTTTAAATGTCCTCAATACTAAATAGTTTGTAAAAGGAAAAAATGATCAACTTTCATGTTTTCCCAGGTTTTGTTACCCAGGGCCCGGAGTGGGAGGTCCAGGGGGGGGAAGCTGGAAACCTCACACACAGGGCAGGCTCCGGAGTCTCCTCTCCTCTGAGCCCTGCTTCTCTGACTCCTCACAGAGCATATCACCCCAGGACGCCGCCCTCCAGCACCCCCAACTCTGCCCACCTCAGCCCCCGCCCCGTCCTGGCGGCTCCACCAGAATCCGGAGCAGCGCGGCAGCGCCCCCGTGTGGCCACAGGGCTGAGCACAGGAGACCAGAGCCGCCCTTTCTCCTGCTCAGCCAGGCCCTCCCCAGGCTCCCTGGGCTCCCAGCGGCAGGACAGGGATCTGCTCACAAGGGGGCGCCCAAGCCCTGTGTCAGTTTAGGTGTCCTCATTTTTAGTCCCTGGTGGTCTCCAGGACATAACTGGTTCCTAGGTTCTGCCAAATCCCCAAATATATAGCTTGCCTCAGTGTGTTGGGATAAAAACTGGATTCCAGGGTTCCTGTAATTTGTTTCTGCTTCTGCTTCCAAGGATGAAAGCACCCCCTCCTGGGAATCAACTTTAAATTTTCCATCTTGGTGCGCAAGGGGTTAAGACACAACCTATGAAGCTATCCTCAGCGACTGCAGCGCAAGTTCGAAGCTCCAGGTGGCCAGGGAGCTACCCATATGGTGCAGCAGACCTCTCCTGTCTCACCTGCTGATCCCCTTAGCAGTGTATTTCGTCAGTCTGCCTGTTCTGTCTCTGGTGAATCCTCTCACCACCACCCCCCACACCTCTGGCCTGTACCCCAGTTCATGTATGCATAAATAAATAAATCTTTTTTTAAAAAAATAAAATCACGTTTATTTTGAAGGACACTTTCAGGGGACATGGAATTCTTGTCTGACAATTCATTGCTATAAGGACCTTGACTGTCATGTGAGTTACCTTGGTGCACTTGTTTCTTGTGAGAAAACAGCCATTGATCACTTTTATCACCTTAATTATCGAATGTTTTGTACTAAATCACTTCATACTTTGCACCTAAAACAAAGATCTGGCGTTTCTCACATTCTCTGAGGAGGAGGCATCAAGAGGGTCCTCACTAAGAGGCTCCAGCTCTGGGTCCCACGAGGCTGCGATGGGGATGAGATGTTGGCAGATCTGAATGGTCGTGATCAGCGTGGAAGGACCCGCCTCAGAGCTCATGCATGTGGCTCCTGGAGAAAGCCCTCAGTTCCTTGTCCTGTGGGTGTCCCCTTAGCTGAGTGTCCACCGTGTGCAGGGAGTCGCCCCAGAGAGTGACCAGGAGGGGAGCCCGGGCGGGAAGTCTCAGCCCCTGTGAGCCTGACTCTGTGACGTGGCGCGTCCCTTCTGCTTCATTCTCCTCACGAGGAAGAGCCAGCCAGTCACACACACTCATGGAGGGGGAACTGTCTCCCCTCCTGTGTATCACAGAATTTGTGGAAAATTGAAAACCAACACAGTAGACCTTCTGGACACTTATTATTTCCATTTGGCCCACAGATAAAATAAACTCTTTATTGAGGGGGCGCTGGTTACATCACTGTTTACACTGTAGAAGGGCAGGGTCCCTCCTCAGGTGCTGTCATTGTACCACACACACCCCTGAGCCCACGGGCCTCCAGCAGAGTCCACTGTGCCACTCCCCACTCTGGGGTCACCCTCCCCCTGTCCCTCTGCCAGCCCCTGCTCTACATGCAGACTCCAAGTGTCAGTGTGTGTGAGCGTGTGTTGTTAATAGTCATAACCGAGGCGCCGGGGGGCGGGGGAGGCTCGGGAGCGGGCGGTGACGGCGGCGGCGGCGCGGAGGAGCCAGCGGCTGGGCCCGGGCCCGGTGCGTCTGTCCGCGCTCCGTGGATGCGAATCGGCCGCGGCGGACGCGGCGGCGGCGGCGGAGGAGGAGCTGGTGGGCCGGCGCCGGGCCGGTGGGCGCTCCCGGCGTGGCAGCGGCCGCCCCGCTGTTGCTGCTGCTGCTGCCCCGGGCCCGGGCGGACGAGCACGAGCACACGTATCAAGATAAAGAAGAAGTTGTGGCCTCCCCGTTGGCGCAGCGGTTGAGCGCTGGGTTGCGAAGCTGCCCGCGGCCTCTGCGGCGCCGGTTCGATCCCCGGCTGCTCCCCGGCCACCGGAGGAGGTTCCCTCATGGCGCGCAGACCTCTCCTGCCGCCCGCTGCTCCCCTCAGCAGTGTGTTTTGTTGGTCTGCCTGTTCTGTTCCCCGCTCTGGCTCTGGTGAATTCTCTCACCCTCCCGTGCTTCTGACTGTACCCAGTGCATGTATAAACAAACAAACAAATAAATAAATAAAACATGCCTCTAAAAAAAAAAGTCTTAAAAAAAAAAAAAGAAGAAGTTGTCTTATGGATGAATACTGTTGGGCCCTATCATAATCGCCAAGAGACATATAAATACTTTTCACTTCCATTCTGTGTGGGGTCAAAAAAAAGTATCAGTCATTACCATGAAACTCTGGGAGAAGCACTTCAAGGAGTTGAATTGGAGTTTAGTGGCCTAGATATTAAATTCAAAGATGATGTGATGCCAGCTACTTACTGTGAAGTTGACTTAGATAAAGAAAAGAGATGCATTTGTATATGCTATAAAAAATCATTACTGGTACCAGATTACATAGATGACTTACCAATATGGGGTATTGTTGGTGAAGCAGATGAAAATGGAGAAGATTACTATCTGTGGACCTACAAAAACTTGAAATAGGTTTTAATGGAAATCGAATTGTTGATGTTAATCTAACTAGTGAAGGGAAGGTGAAACTGGTTCCCAATACTAAAATCCAAATGTCATATTCAGTAAAATGGAAAAGGTCAGATGTAAAATTTGAAGATCGATTTGACAAATATCTTGATCCATCCTTTTTTCAACACAGGATTCATTGGTTTTCAATCTTCAACTCCTTCATGATGGTGATATTCTTGGTTGGCTTAGTTTCAATTATTTTAATGAGAACTTTAAGGAAGGATTATGCACGTTACAGTAAAGAAGAAGAAATGGATGACATGGATAGAGACCCAGGAGATGAGTATGGATGGAAGCAGGTGCATGGAGATGTATTCAGACCGTCAAGTCACCCACTGATATTTTCCTCTCTCATTGGTTCTGGATGTCAGATATTTGCTGTGTCTCTCATTGTTATTATTGTTGCAATGATAGAAGACTTATATACAGAGAGGGGATCAATGCTCAGTACAGCCATATTTGTCTATGCTGCTACATCTCCAGTGAATGGTTATTTTGGAGGAAGTCTGTATGCTAGACAAGGAGGAAGGAGATGGATAAAACAGATGTTTATTGGGGCATTTCTTATCCCAGCTATGGTGTGTGGTACAGCATTCTTCATCAACTTTATAGCCATCTATTACCATGCTTCTAGAGCCATTTCTTTTGGAACAATGGTGGCCGTTTGTTGCATCTGTTTTTTTGTTATTCTTCCTCTAAATCTTGTTGGTACAATACTTGGCCGAAATTTGTCAGGTCAGCCCAACTTTCCTTGTCGTGTCAATGCAGTGCCTCGTCCCATACCAGAGAAAAAATGGTTCATGGAGCCTGCAGTTATTGTTTGCCTGGGAGGAATTTTACCCTTCGGCTCAATCTTTATTGAAATGTATTTCATCTTCACGTCTTTCTGGGCATATAAGATCTACTATGTCTATGGCTTCATGATGCTGGTGCTGGTCATCCTGTGCATAGTGACCGTCTGTGTGACCATTGTGTGCACATACTTTCTACTAAATGCAGAGGATTATAGATGGCAATGGACAGGTTTTCTCTCTGCTGCATCAACTGCAATCTATGTTTACATGTATTCCTTTTACTGCTATTTTTTCAAAACAAAGATGTATGGCTTATTTCAAACATCATTTTACTTCGGATACATGGCAGTATTTAGCACAGCCTTGGGGATAATGTGTGGAGCAATTGGTTACATGGGAACAAGTGCCTTTGTCCGAAAAATCTATACTAATGTGAAAATTGACTAGAGACCCAAGAAAATCTGGAACTTCGGATCAAAATAGGGGTGGAACTTGCACAGCATAAAAAGAGCAAGAAGAGATTTGGGCTTTAACACTGGGTATTCTGTGGGTCTCTCTTTCGTGGATGACTTAAAGTAACATCTATTTTCATTGATCCTAGGTTCTTAGTGACTGCTTTCTCCAACTGTTCACAGCAAATGCTTGGATTTTATGCAGTAGGCATTACTACAGTACATGGCTAATCTTCCCAAAAACTAGCTCATTAAAAATGAAATAGACCAGCTCTCTTCAGTGAAAAAAAAAAAAAATAGTCATAACCAACTTTTATTGGTTTCACATGAATAGCTAATATTTTGCAAACCATGTTTTTCCAATATATTTATGTTAACACATATGAACATATTTATTAGATTTTTTGGCAGAGGAGGTGGGAAAAATGAGGGGAAGATGACAATGTCAAAGCTAATCTTCAGTGACGGGCAAACACTTGGCCATCGTCTCCCTTCACAGACAGTTACAGATTTATAACCTTGAAATATATCAAAACTGCAGTGCCTCAGTTTACTTTAAAAAGCAATAGCGAAATACATTATTTAGGCATCACATTTCCCTTTCTACATGTATTTTTATGTACACATAATTTTATACTTGTTACATCATGGTTTTTAAAAATAAACATCAAAATGTTATACTAAATAATCCCACATCTGATAAATCATGCTAGTATCAATTTTTTAAATTCCAGTTTCTTTATTCATCAGTAAAATGTATCATTTGACAATGTCCCAAAGAATAGGAGGACATATGAAATATGAAAAGGTCATTTGCATAGTCACTACAGATTCTGTCAGACCTGCTGTCACATTGGGGCTTTCCCTTGAACAAAGTACTACCAGTGGTCATCCTGGGCCAGCAGGGAAGACGGAGCTCACTCCTGACACCAGGCACCACCTGTCACTGTATTCCTGTTCCTTGTCATGGTGCTGGGCCTTGGTGCCATTAGCACAATGAGTTTTTCTTAATGAATGTGGTGGATTAAGGCAAAAGGACATAACCTGGTCCCCTCAATCATTTACTTTCTCTCCACCTTTTCTTTTTTTTAAGACAATTGTTTTTTTGAAGATGTATTTATTTATTTATACAAGTACTGGGTACAGTCAGAAGCTCGGGAGGGTGAGAGAATTCACCAGAGCCAGAGTGGGGAGCAGAACAGGCAGAAGGACCTGCTGAGGGGAGCAGCGGGTGGCAGGAGAGGTCTGCGCGCCTGTGGGACCCTCGCCCAGTGGCTGGGGATCGAACTGGCACTGCAGTGGCTGCAGGCAGCTTTGCAGCCCAGCGCTCAACCGCTGCGCCACCAGGGGAGGCCCTCTCTCCACCTTTTAAAAAATTATTGTTGACACAATATAAGTTACAGATTCACTGGCTGGAAAGACAGTCACCTCTTAGATTACCCCTGGTATTTAAGCATGAGGTTGGTTTCTCTTGGTCTCTCAGCAGGACCATCCCTCAGCAGGGCCCTCAATGCAGAGTGTCAAATGCTACCATTGCTATGTCTCCTGGCTGGATGTAGATTATTTTCCCTTATTAAAAACATTTAATAATTGGGCAATAATCTTTGTAACCTCTCCACTGAATAATTTCTTATTTTTTACAACTTCCTCCTGGCTGATGTGCTTTTTTCTGTCACCTTCTTCCCTTCAAAGGAGGGTTTTGAATGAGCCTCCAATTCTACCCCGCAATGTAAAATATTGTCCACAGTTGTAATTAGAGAACAGGTAACGGTCTGTATGATGAGCTGAATCATCTCCTCCTGAGATTTGAGGAGACAGGACCTCCCCTGTGGTGCAGCAGGTTGAGTGCAGCACTTTGAAGCTGTCCACAGCCTCTGCAGCGGGGGTTCAATTTCCGGCCAGCCAGGAAGATACCCACATGGCATGACAGATCTCCCCTGTCTTGCCCACTGCTCCCCTCAGCAGTGTTTTCGGTCATTCTCCCTGTTCTGCAAACTGCTCTGTCTCTGGTGAATCCTCTCACCCTCCTGCGCCTCTGGCCTGTACCCCAGCTCTTGTATAAATAAAATAAATCATAAAACAAATATTAAAAAAAAGACTTGAGGAGACAGAAATCATTGTCACGAATGGAAATTGGTCAGATATTGACCGAGATGTACAACCTAAATAAACCAGGTGGTGTAACGGAAAGTGAAAGGGTAGAGATGATAAGGTAGACTCTGAAGAAAGCCAGCCACAGGGGGAAAACCATGACTAGCAGGTGAAGAAGGATCTTCCAGAGATGAGCTTCATGGATTTGCTTATCTATAAGTCTATGGTGAAGGCCTCTGTGAATCCAGTAGATCAGCATGTTGGTGAGAAAGAGGAAGGACCATACAGGAACAATGAGTTGAATCCAGCTGTTTGGAAACTCTCCTATGTTGTCATGTAATTTGCTGTATCCTCTAATCTCTACAGAAGCAGTGAAATGGTGGGAATACTTACTCCATGGCAATGATGTAACAGTAAACATGATTCTCAGTAGACTTGATTCTATAAATATTGTGGGTTGTTCATTCGGGAATGACTATAGATAAAACAACAGCTCATTGTCCCAAAGAGGAAATAAAGGATAAAAGCACCAAGATTTATAACCAGGAGAAAGACATTCTCTGGCCCTGTGGTTGGATATGGAAATGGTGTGAAACATAGTTATCTGCAACATCGAGTACAAGATCCATCTGAGCTCTAGCAAATAGGGGAGGCTAGAGGATCCAGGGGTGTTGTACATGCAACAAGACACAATGGAGGACTCAGTCAGCAGGAGTCAGGCTTTGTCATCAAATGAGTCTTATTCCAAACAAGAGATGGTCAGTCCACCACCCAGCGCTGCTGGGCCAGGAAGCCTGGGCTGGTCTGAAGTCCTGGTCAGCAATAGGTGCAGCCTGGGGGATTCAAGGGTTAGTTTTTAAGTTTTCCTTAATATAGCCCTTTGTTAGACTTTCTATATCCATATATGGGAGACATATTTATCTTTCTCCTTTGGACTTATTTCCGTTAGCTCTGTCCGTGTTGCCCCAGATGGCATGAGTTTATGTTTTTCTGATAAGTAGTATTCTATTATCTATATACCACTTCTTGAATTCTCATCTGTTTTCAGGCATTTTGCTTGTTTCCATAGCTGGGATATTATAAATAGTGCTGCAGTGAACACAGATGTGCAAGGTGCCCTTCATAGCAGTGTATTTGTGTTCTGTGGGTACATTCATAGGAGTGGGGACGGCTGAGTCCTATGGCAGATTCAGTTTTAATTTACTAAGAAATCTCAATACTGTTATATGTATTTATGTGTATATATATGTGTATGTATGTATGTGTGTGTGTATATCTATATACACACACATCCCCCTCCTTACCCCATCTCAGGACTTGGGGCTCTAAAAGTCCCTCATGCTGCAAGTGGCACGTGTATCTCTGCTCCTCTCCAGAAGGCACTACCATAGCCGCCCATTTATGGAAGGTTATGTCCCCCCCAACCTGGTCTCCACCAGCTCTGTGTCCTGGGTCAGGTCCTCCCCATCTTGCTGCCAGGTCAGGGTGATGTCTGCAGGGTAGAAGCCCAGGCCCCAGAACTTCAGGGTGACCTCATGGTCAGAGGTGAGGTAGAGGGTCACATGTGTTTTGGAGGGTCAAAAATTCACACTTTTTTTTTCCTTCCAGGACACTGAGGCAGCCTCACTGACCATCCTTAGAATGGACATGACAATTGGTTTGGAGGGAGGAAGCACAAAACCCAGAAACCAGACTAGTCTGGGGAATCTGGGATAATTGGGTGAGATCCCAGGGTAGGAGGATGCAGGTCTCTAAGGAGAACACAGACTTTTGCTCCTGAGCTGGCTGGAGGGTGAATGACACAGAAAGGCAGGAGTCAGACCCGGAAATGTTCTCAGACCAAAAACAAGACCTTGAAAGAGAAACTCATGGTTCCCAGGATGGCTGCCGGGTCACAAGGATCCAGGGAGAGTTATTTCAGGATGGCCTCCCTCCCTCAGGAGAGACTGGATTCCTTAACTGTCCAGAAAAGTGGTGTCTTCTGGGCGAGTCTCTCTCTAGCACAGAACATGAAACCCAGGGGGCTCCTCCCTCTCTGCCCAGAAAGCAGCTGCTGTTCTGCCCATTATTCCATTTTCCCTGTGGGGGCCAGGAGAGGGGAGGTCCGAGGCCTCGTGGCCCCTCTTACCTGTGCGCTGCAGCACCTCCTTCCCCAACTCCAGGAGTCTGCGGAGCCGCGGGAAGCACCTGCTCTGCACACTGTGCCGGACGCGCTCGGCCCTCCCCGCCGCCTCCCACATGCTCTGGGTGATCTGAGCCCCCGAGTCCGCGGGGGTCCAGGAGCGCAGGTCCTCGCTCAGGGAGATGAAATCCGCGCCGTCGTAGGCGAACTTTTCATACCCGCTGAGGAGACTCAGGTCTGGCCCCACTTCACAGCCACACATGCTCTGGAGCATATGAGACCCTGACACCCACACCTGGGTCACCCAGAGGTCACCCCGCGGTCACCCCCCCTTCAACCTGAATAAACCTAAACTGAAAATGAAAGGGCCGGCAGGACAGTCCCTTCCCAGGGGAGGGGCCTGGCAGATCCACCAGCCTCGAGGGGCAAGAACACAATGGGTCTGAAGGGGATCAAGAGGTTGTGGGGCAGATGAGCCTTTCCTGGGGTCCTGCACCCGCAGGGGGCTCCTTGCTCCTCCCTCCTGGAGCAACAGTGTCCAGCTGGACACGCACTCACCCGCCCGGGTCTCCATCAGGGCCAGGGGCGCCCAGAACAGCAGCAGGAGGGGGAGGGGCATCACACCCCATCCAGGGGCCTGGGGAGAAGGAGTCCAGGAGGGTCCTTGGAGACTTTGTCACTGGAGCAGGATGATGCTGATTGTCTTCCCTGGAAACCCCCAGGAAATGGGGAGAGAGAATGGGGGTGAGTGTGGGGTCATCAAGGCTGCACCACCCCACAGAGCCTGTGAGAGGGAGACATGATGCTGTGACAGTGTGACATCCACAGACAGGGGAGGCTCCAAATTCCCTTCCCCACCATCGGGAGGAGGGGATTTGGGCTGGGAGAAGCAGCAGCCTGGAGGAGTGAAGAAACTAATAGTGTTTTCAGATAATTGTGAATATTGATACTAAATTAAATCTGCACAGGAAGCAGTTTCTGGAAGGTTATTTGCTAAATGAAACCTGAAACAATATCATGGAATATTTCCTATTCTGTTACATTTCCACAGGAACTCTCTTGCGTA